TGTATATTACTTTTTAACAGTTGTATAGTATTCCCTTGTCTAGCTATTACCATAATTTAGCTAAGTTACCCTATTAATGCATCATCCAGATTATTCCTGTCTTTTTGCTATTGTAATAAGCATTTCAAAAGTAGATTTGTGCAGACATTTTGTATTTTTGTTGTCTCCTTAGACTTAAATCGTGGAAGTGTATTTTTTGCATTTAAATCCTTAATCCGTCTGGAACACGTTTCTGTACCTGGTGAGGACTTACTGTCTCTTCTTATATGGTCAGCAGATTGTTCTAACACCATTTATTGGAAAATGCATTCTTGCCCCACTGCTTTGAAATCGCTGTCATCATGTATTAATTTCCCATACAATTGGAGCTTTTCTAGTCCCATGCCAATGTTGCACTGTTGCCATTACTATAACAAGTTCCCAGGTGGGGATTTTAGACTTAAAACCTATGTATTAGTTAGTGTTCTCCAGAGAAACAGAACTAATAGGATATATATAGATAGATATAAGAGGAGATTTATTGTAGGAATTGGCTCACAAGATTATGGAGACTGAGAAGTCTCAGGAGCTGCCATCTGCAAGCTGGAGACCCAGGAAAGCCAGTAGTATACAGTCATGTGTCGCATAACGATGGGGACACATTCTGAGAAATGTGGCATTAGGCGATTTTGTCATTGTGTGAACATCATAGAGTGTACTTACACAAACCTAGATGCTATAGCCTACTACACACCTAGGCTTTATGGTACTAATCTTATGGGACCACCATCATGTATGTATTGTTGACCAAAACGTCATTATACGACACAGGACTGTAATTCAGTGTGAGGCCCCAGGACTGAGGACCAGGGGGGCTGCTGGTGAAAGTCGTGGAGTCCAAAGGCCCGAGAACCGGGAGCTCTGATGTCTGAGGGCAGGAGAAGATGGATGTCCCAGCTCAAGCAGAGAGAGTGAATTTGCCTTTCCTTTGTCTTTTTGTTCTGTTCAGGCCCTCAACGGATTGGATGATGCCCACCCTCATTGGTGAGGGCCGTCTTCTTTACTCAGTCTGCAGCTTCAAATGCTAATCCTTCCAGAAACACTTTCACAGACCCGCCTAGGAATACCATTTTGCCAGCTATCTGAGTATCCCTTAGCCCAGTCAAGTTGACATAAAATTAGCCATCACAACCTAGAACCTCCAATTTCTGTAGCTGTCTGGCTGTCACCTGCTGGGGTAAAGGTTGTTGCCCAGGCCATGCTGTACACAGTATACCTCAATGACATTGTTCTGCAGGAAGAAACATGGAGAGTCTTCAAGTCAGCCAGCCCTGATTTGCACTGTAGTAAGTGTTCTATAAATATTTGGATTCAAGAACTGGCACCAAATAAAGTTAGCTCAAGAAGAGATGGGTTTATTATAAGACTACTATGTAAGATTTCAACAGCATGACAGTAGCAGGTCTTTCATTGCCCTTAGTTTGGGGTATGAGGAGGCATGATAAATCATGGCCTGTTTTCCCAGCCTGAATTCTGAACCAATGGAGAAGATAAAAGTAAGAAAGGTGGGAGACAGAAATATACCTTTATTTCTGATAAAGCTGATATTAGAGAATATGGCTTACATCTGCAGGCGGCTGGGCTTCCGAATATTGTACCTGAAACTTAAGCACATCTTATTTGGATCTCACTGGTGGTGCTGGACCCCTGCAGGCCACCGCCATGGGGGCTGGGCCCTCTCACAGAGGCAAAGAGCAGAAGGGAACAGTTGCTTCCTGTGGACAGGCTGATTCCCAGAGAGGAAGGGGTTCAGCTGTGCAAGTGCAGTTTCTTCTTTCAAGTCCACCAATCAGATTAAGTTGTCCTCTCCCCACTATGGAAGGCTGGGCGAGGTATAGCAAGAGGTGAGGAGAGCTCATGTCAATGGAGTACCCTCCGTGGGGAAGGATATATCAAAAAGGGCAGTGGAGGGTTTTCCTAACTCCGTGTGGAACATCGTGCCCTGGTTTAATCAGCTGCAGCTGATGGAGCAGGAGTCACGTGATATAGGTCAGGACATGGCTGTGGGAGGACACGGTCATGGCTAAATCTAGTATAGCACTGTGATTGGTTTTATTTCTTGGCCCCTTCTCATCTCTCTAGGCTTATCTCTTGCCATTGCCATTGCTTGAATGAGCCATGCTTCTCTCTCACTTCTCAGTCTTCTCTTATGCCCGGAATACACTTCTGGGCCACCTTCACCACCATCTTTTTTTGTCTAGCTTATTCCCATCCCTCCTTTAGCTCTCACCTACACTGAGAAGCTTTGCCTTATGTACAAGTGTGAATTAAATACCTTCCTGTTCTCCTCACAGTACCTTATACTCACCCAACGGGACACTGATTCCTTATTTTATTCCTGATTACTCTGTCTTCCACATGAGAATGTAAGCTCGTGAAGACAATCACTGTATCTGTCTTCTCCATTGGAAGACCTCAATGACTATTTGTTCAATGAATTCATAAATGAATGCTGTTGGTGAACTTGCCTTCTTAATTTTTTATTTTAAAATTCTTTTGTCGTAGGTTTTATATCTGTGAATTGGTCATATTTTGGCTGTTTCTAAATATACAAATGTATAGGAAAAATGGTCAAAAACCCACTGCCACTTATGATTTATAAAACAACTTTTTGAATTTTCATATGAAAAAGATCAGTTAGGTCTACATTTTATATCTTAGGATAAAGCAAAAGCACAGACTACAAAAGCGATCTGGCCTAGACATACATAATGGGTTCTGGTATGGAGGAGGAAGTAATTTTATTTGTGTAAAACAGCAATATCTGATGTGTATGCTGAGAACTTCATAAATATTTTCTCTTCTCTCACCTCTTGGTTAAATTTTTTTGTTATTCTTTCTTGTTTAAATATAATGATATTTTGACTCTGTTTCTTTTTGTGATTTTAGAGAGTTGTGGTTTGTAAGTAAGAAGCATTTTTTTAAGAACTGATTTGAATTGTTATTTAGTTGAATGGATCTTTGAGTGAAAATTAGATCTGGCTTACATAATTACAAGAGATGCTTGGATTTTAATTGCAGACTGCATTTTCTCATTCACTCATTTAATGGTGATTAAATAGAATTTTGAAGTAAAATTTCCAAGATTAGAAAGGATAAACACATTAAGCTGTAAAGAAAACATTGGGAGAGCTAGAATATGAAAACTTCATCCGGTAACGTAAAGGTTCGAAATTGTTACTTGTAGGCCTGAGGCGTGGTTACAGATAAACATGGTTTTGCACACGCCTTTCAGATCTGCTTAGGCTAGTTGATATTTCTTGTTGGAATTACAGATGGATTTCATAAATGTGTACAAAATGAACAAAATGGATGGTCAAATCTAAAGAGTTATATAGAGAGAGCCCATACCTTGATGCATACACAAGATTTTTTTTTTTTGAGGAAGCTTAGCCCTGAACTAACTACTGCCAGTCCTCCTCTTTTTTGCTGAGGAAGCCTGGCCCTGAGCTAACATCCATGCCCATCTTCCTCTACTTTATACGTGGGATGCCTACCACAGCATGGCGTGCAAAGTGGTGCCATGTCCGCACCCGGGGTCCGAACCGGCGAACCCCGGGCCGCCGAGAAGCGGAACGTGCGAACTTAACCACTGCACCACCGGGCTGGCCCATACACAACATTTTAAGCTTTAAGTATTAAATTGTATATTTCAAATAACAATGTTACCACATACCTGGGGTAGTTTAAAATTCTAAGTATTTGGGGGTCTTTTTAATCTTTGTTTGTTAGGATAACCACAATAGCTTTAAAAATGAGAATTTTAAGAGTTGCTTGATTTTTCCTTTTAGTAAAATAATGTAATAAGAAGGGCTGAATTTTCTCCTCTTTAGAGTTGGTGACATCTCATTCTACCAAAAGGTACTGTGATTGCAGAGGGTCCTGGTAAGGTTTTGCTCCCCACACAAAATGCTTACCAGAGCTGACTACTGATTTCCAAATTTGTTTATCCAGATCAGCATTGTCAAATAGAACTTTCTGTAAAGACAGAAATGTTCTGTAATCTGCGCTGTCCACTATGGCAGCCACTAGCCACATGGGGCTCTTGAGTACTTAAATGTGGCTAATACAACTTAGGAGCTAAATTTTTGATTTTGTTCAATTTTATTATTATTTGTGTGTGTTTGAGGAAGATTAGCCCTGAGCTAACATCTGTACCAATCTTCCTCTACTTTGTATGTGGGTCGCTGCTACAGCATGGCTGATGAGTAGAGTATGTCTGCGCCTGGGATTCGAACCTGCAAACCCTGGGCTCCAGAAGTGTGTATGAAACTCCAACTACTTGGCCATGGGTCCGGCCCCCAATTTTGTTTAGTTTTAAGTAATTTAAACTTAAACAGCCACATGTGGCTAGTGGCTACTCTATTGGACAACACAGCATTTCTTTCCACTTCTAGATTTAGTATGGGCATGCTGCTGGAAAAGTTGACTTTAATTTGCATGAATTCATTTGATGTGTTTCACCAACATTTATCAAGCACCTAGTGAGTTTGTGTGCCTGGTGTCAGAAATACATTTCCTTTGGATTTCTTAAATCAGCTTTTAGGGAAAGATGTGGAGACCTGAGATCTGTCATCCTACACAGCTGAGTGAACATGGCCTTGGTAACAGGGCCCCTGCTGTTTCAACAGGAGCTGCCTCTCTTTCACCCTGAGCTCCAGGACCCATGGCAGGGCCATTGCCTGCCAGGCTGAGGGGATAAGTGGGGGCTCCTCTCACCTGGCTGTGAGCTCTGGCATGGCTCAGGGCTGCATCTGCCCAAAGGAAGGGGCTCCTGTTTGAAATTCTCTCAAAGACGTTGTATGGGCTAGCACAGCCCTTTCACTGAGATTCATTCCCTCAGCTTGCCCTTCTGGCTTAGCTGCTCCTGACACTTTCCTCAACACATTTCTATGGAAAAATTGAACAACTCTTCACAGCTACCCAACATCTACTTTTTCTTCTGCTTATTCTTTTCAAAGGTGTCTTACCTCCTGGAAGGGGGAAGCATGGCCCATGAAGATTTCTGTGGACACGTTGGTCAAATGAACCCAGGAGACCTGCAGGTATGGGCAAGGAAAAGGAATTGCTGATGGTTTAATAGTCTTTGGGTGTGCATGCTTGATCTCACCCACTTCCAGCACATTCGTGCTTTCCTTCCTCCCTCTGTTAGATCCTTGACCTCTCCTTTTCTAGGGATCCTTCCACTCAGCCTGGAAGTCTGCACAGGTCTCTTATATTCTTCTCTCACGCTTCCCTTGATGCCCTCAATCACTTTTTAGCTCCCACCTAGTCTTTTTCTTACATTTCTCAAACGAGGAATCAAGAGTGACTGTCTCAACTTCCTTATCTTCCATTTCATCTTCCACTCACCGAAATCAGAGTTGGTCTCTCACCAGCCCCAAAACCTTTACTGAAGCTGTTCAAGTAATGGTCACTCCTGATGTCCTAATTGCCAAATTCATTGCACCAGTTTCAGTCCTCATCTTTCTAGACCTTTCTGCTCCATTTGAGACAATTTACTGTTTATCTTCCAACTCATTTACAGGGGTAGGTATTGTCACTTAAGACGGTGACCCAAACCCTGCCACCATCCTAGTCTTGTCTGAGACGTGTTACAATTAAAATCCCCGGGAAATGCTTGCATCATCTTTGCCCATTTTGTAAGTCTGAACTCTATATCATATACTTTCTGGGATCATTTGCATATTTTGTGGAATGAAAACTGCAAATATTTGAATCGTAATGTTTCAATAAACATAAAATTTATAGACAGAAAAGCAAAAGGACAAAGAGTTGTGGCCAAAAGTCAACAGTATCCTCTCACTGCAGCAAGACATAAAGTGGAGGCTGCCCAGAGTGGTAGATGAGATGGCTGGTGTGTCCTGACCAGGGAACTGGCAATTCCCTTGCCTTCAGGCTGCCTCTGCAGTTGTACCTGTTAGGTGCTGGTCAACACCTCTCCTACCATTAGAATTTCACATTTGATTAGAATAACAATTGCATCATGTCTTTCTGTTTATTCAGCATTTCCGTATGCATGATCTCTCTAAGGTAAGTATTTTTTTTTACCTCCTTCTAAAAATGAAAGAATGGGGATTTAAAGAGTTAAAAAAATGATGTCCACGGCTTCAGAGGCATTAAATGATGAGGTTGGAGAGAGAACCTTGTTCTCCCCCTCCAAATCCAATGGGTGAGCCATTTAAAGAAAGGTATTGCCAAACTAGATGATATCTGAAAAAGAAAAACCAAGGTATGAAAGGCAGATTGAACATACGGAGAGATGAACTGTTAACAGGAAAATGCTTAAAAGTGAGAAGACAAGTCTGAGGAACACCAGTAGCGCTCGTCAGATAGAAGTAGTGCAGCATGGGAGGATGTTTAGATTTACTTTCTATTGCATTAGAGCAGGAGTCAGCAAATGTTTTCTATAATGGCCAGATAGTAAATATTCTAGGCTTCGCAGGTCATATGGTCAGTAGTAACACTCAACTCTGCCTTTACAGCAGGAAAGCAGACAGACAGTGTGTCAGTGAATGGGTGTGTCTGTGCCAATAAAACTTTAGGTATAAAATCAAGTGGCAGGTGGGATTTGGCCTGTGGGCTGTAATTTGCAGACTCCTGTACTAGAAGGTTTCATCAGCCTTATCAAATGGAAGACAGAGGGAAGTCTCTTTAGATTTAGTGAAAGAAAGAAAGAAATCTCTAAAATATGCACTGGCCTTCTTTCAGATCCTTGAACTGCTCATTCTTGTCTCAGTCTTTTACATGCCGTTCCCTTTGTATGGAATCTCTTCCCCTTCCCCTGGTCAATTCTTGCTCCTTGTTTGGGTCTCAGACTGAAGGCTGATGCCTTGAATGAGCAGACCATTTCCTTTGCTCTCACAGGAGCCTATCATTCTCCACAGCGCCAAGCACAATCCTAAGATCAATAATTATTTGTGTAATTGTTTAAGGATTGTTTAAGTTATTGTTTAAGTTACGAGGGCCGTGTGGAAGATGCTGTTTTGGCTTGCCCTGTAGCCCTTTGACCCAGCTCTGAATTCACATGGTCACAGTCCCCACGTGTGTGCATGGCTCCCCATCTCCAGTGCTGCTACTCTGCCTGAGAGCTTTCTCGAGCCCAGTACTTGGCAGTCTGCAGCCCGGATGTGCCAAGGATTTACACCGCCAGGGGGACTCTCGTCAGTGAGGGATGGGAGTCGGTGGATAAACACCCTAGCTTCCCCTCCTCTCCAGCCAACCATTCTCAAATGCATCTTCTACATGGTTCCCAGGGGAATTGCGCCCCAGGTGCCCACGGGTGTAGCTCGCTCATTAACACTCCTTTTTGGCTTTCTCCCTCACCTAGCTCACTCTTCCCTACTCTTCCCTGCTTGTGCTTTCTGCATCACTTTCCAAATAAACTACCTGCACTTAAGTCCTTGTCTCAGGATCTTCTGTGGGAGAACCCAAGCTAAGATGGGCAGGAAACCTATCTGTTAAGTTCCATCCCTTCATCCTCTGATCTCAAGGTTAGTGTCTGAGGCTGGCCCCTGATATGCTCTTAAAGAAGAAGTAAATGCATGCTTGAAGAATTTGCGCAACAGTGGAGGCAATAACTGTTTCTCTAAGTAGTGAGGGCTCCATTACCGGACTTGAGCAAGCAGAGACTCAAGTCAATCTTCCGTGGTGTAGTGGATACTGTGGACCTCTGTGTGTATCTCTAGGCCCATGCCTGTATCGTCCAGCTGCTGATGGCTCACAGCTGCATCCCGCCCTGGGCACTGCCCTCTGCTGCAGCAACTGCCTCTCTCAAGGTTGTACTCCCTACGAAGGGGTGGAGCATGGTCAGTGGTTTGCTGATGTGGAGATAGAAAAGCTCAGCAATCTTGCCTCAATGTGGGACAATTCAGAAGGTTCATCCAACTCTAGAGCTCCCTGTTGGCTTGGCTGAGGCTTCTGTTAGAACTGCGTTGCTGCTTGGCTTCTCCCCCTGCCCAGTCCTGCTTTTTTCACTTCTGAAGGAGTATGTCCTGCGAGCACTCCCCAATGTGCTATCTGCCTGCAACTCCCCATCTCAGAGCTCAATCAAAGGCCCAGGGATGCCAAAGAGGATTCTTCCATTTGTGTGAACTTTGGATCTGACGCTTTGATTTCAAATGAGGAAGCATGGGAAGCGTTTGGGAAACTGGGAAGGGCTTCAGCAGTTGTCACTGTTGTTTTGTTATTCCTCATGACGCCCAGGCACTCTGAAAGCGGCACTTGTAAGGTGCCTCAGTTAGTTACTGTGTCATACTCGTCTCACCCGCAGACTTGTTATAGGGGGCTTACATTTCCTTCTTGTTGATCTGGTGTTTGCAGTGGATGACTGCGGGCCGGGGCATTCTGCACGCTGAGATGCCTTGCTCAGAGGAGCCAGCCCATGGCCTCCAACTGTGGGTTAATTTGAGGAGCTCAGAGAAGATGGTGGAGCCTCAGTACCAGGAACTGAAAAGTAAAGAAATCCCTAAACCCAGTAAGGATGGTGTGACAGTTGCTGTCATTTCTGGAGAAGCCCTGGGAATAAAGGTAAGCCGTGCTGTCATGTGTTTGTGAAAACAGAGGTGTAGGATGACATAGGCTGGCCCCATCTGGGTCAGCAGCTCTCACTGGGTTTATCACAGTTTATGTCCCATGGGATGGACTTGCTTCCTAAGTATCGGAATAAGTGGAACCTAAGGGAACCCAGAAATTTTTTACCACATGCAAACCCATAGAGTTTGGAAAATTACGAGAAAGCAAGCTCATATAAAAAACTTAGTCCAAAAGCAATTTTCAAGGTACATCTTAATATGCATACAGTTTTTGCCTATTTCTTTTTGCTTATAGTGCAATTTTGTGGCTCCTTGGTACTGCGAGATCGGTACCTTTAAGAAACAAACAGAAAACAAAACCAACTCCACTGCCTGAAAATTTATTCAAATTATTTATTCCCAACTTAGTAAGTATGGAAAGCACACAACTACATCATAGAAAGTTTTTTTAAAACATTAACATGAACATTTATCTAACCCATATAAACACCATGCCCTGTACATTCTTCTCAACTGAGACTTTATAATATTTAGATTTAGAGTCCCACCTTTAATCAAATAAGATCAATTTAGGCTAAAGATGATGAGCAGATTTGTGGTAGGAAAAGCATATGGCAAATACTGTGTTAATTGCACACCAGAACTGCTGCTGGGGAGGCCAAGTTCCTCACGCCAGATGGTTCGAGGTACTGGCCAGCTAGGTAGTGAGCTGGGTAGTGCAGTTTCTTAGGTGAGGTTTCCCAAAAGCAGACCCTGAGATGAGAATTCGTGTGCAAGTGATTTTAAAGGAAGTGCCCCTACGGGAACAGAGAAACAAACCAGGACAGGGAAGGGAAGGGAGCCAAGCAAGGGTGCCATCTCAGGCAAAGTCCCACAAGAGATGGAGACTGGAGGATCAGTCTGCCTCTGAGTTGTCCCGACCCACCCTGGGCAAGGGAGCTGGGCTTTCATGCTCCTTTACCCCAAGTCATTACTTATGGCCATTGAGTGTGGGATAGGGGGCACAGACCTGGTCGCACGAATCCTTGGAGTTCACAACTGCTTCTCATTTATAGAACACAATGCAAATTTGATGTCGGAACTGGTTCCAATTACAGGCAGAAGGACATTTTAAAGCACTTCCAAGCAGCAGACCGCATGGTCTTGCAATCACAACTAAGAATTAGAGACCAGAGGTAATGTTTTAACTTTGTAAAATCATGTTTTAGTAGCTGCTGGCCTCTCTTTTTTCTTCTTGTCAAGTAAAATCTTTGAAGTGAATTGCGTTCTCCCAAGTAAATGATCAGACTTTACTATGAGAGCGTTTTAATAAGGGGCTCTTGGAACCCTGGGAAGCATTATTTTGAATTTTGAGAGGCAGTGTGGTGCTGTGGTTACCAGCATGGACTCTGGAGACAGGCAGCCTGGATTAGACTCGCCACCATGAACTAGTTGCGTTGCCTTGGACAAGCCACTTAACCTCTCTGCTTCAGTGTCTTCATCCATAAAATGGGCTTGCTGTGAGGATTAAGGAAGTTTTTTATACATTGAGCAATCAAAACGGCGCCAGATACGTTGTAAGCACCACATAAGCACTAGCTGTTCTTCTTCTTATTATTATTTGATTCCTTTGTGTTAACTTGGGCAGGAAGTGGGCTGAGATTATGTTTGCTGTCTATGCCAAAGGGACTTGCTGGGATTTGGGAAAAGTAATTAACCTGCTCTGAAGAGAAGACACCAGTGAGTTATTGTAAACATGGGGGGACTATTGGCCATTTCTTTCTGTGTCTCTTAAGAAACAGTTTCGTATATCTGAAGCCTTAATATCTGCTCACCATGAAATGACTGGATCTTAATTAGTCTAGATGTATCATAAAAACAAACTGAAGATTGTTTTGCATCAGGAAGATAATTTTAAGTTAAATTACAAGGCTGAGAGTATACCTTTCAAGAGACTGATGTGCTTATAACCAATATAGAGTCAACAGCTCCCTTCTGTGCAACTGAAATATCTGGAAAATGGAATTAGTGACCATTCCAGCGCTTCTCCAACTTTAATATTTATATGGATTACCCAGGGGTCTTGTTAAAATGCAGGCTCTCATTCAGCAGGTCTGGGTAAGTCTGAGGGCCTACATTTCTGACTGGCTCCCAGGTGATGCCCATGCTGTGGTCCAGGGACCATTGTTTATAATATTTGTAATGACCATGGGATCCAAGACATGGAAGTTTATTCATCATGAGGAACTATTTGATTAGGCGCCTACAGAAGATGTTAAGGTCCAGCTCTGTGGTTTTTGGGAGACCTTATTTAACCTCTCTGGACTTCAGTTCCAGTGTCCACAAAAACGGTGAGCTGGTTTTGTGCAAGATGCTATAAGCTTTTGCAAGCAGCACAACTGTCCTTTTGCTATTCCCAAAGGTAGATGTGTCCCCATTTCCCAGGTTGTGTCTATTTCAGTCCCTGGGAAGCCACAGCCAATTTTTAGCAAGATTCTGCCAGGCTAGCACAGTCTAAAATGAAGGCTGAAAGGGGGAAAAGATAAAAATGGGATACTTTGAATAGTTTCTGTCACTCCTGGAAGGTCAAAATCACATGTTTATTTCATGAAAGTATGAAATTCTCCAAACCCCATTCCATCCTTATCAGGCAGCCAATCAGCAATATTTATTGCCAGTTCTCTCTGGAACATGATTCTTCTCCAACAAACGCCTGTACTTGCCTCCTGCTGTTTTAAATTCCATTAAGTCAGAAGCAAATCTTAAGGAGGCCTCAGCCCCACTGGGGTCAGAAAAAGGCAATCCGGAGCCTGACTGCCTGGGTTCAAGGCCAGCTCTAGCACTGACTAACTTTAGAGAAGTCACTTAATTCTGCTGGGCCTCAGTGTTCTCATCTGTAAAATGGAGATAATTCTAATGACTCGGAGGATCATTGGGAGGATGAAATTGGTTAATATGTGTAAAGAATTTAGAACAATACCTGGTGAGAGGTAAGCCCTCTGTAAGTGGTTGCTACTTTCACTTCTTTGCAAAAGCTTTGTCCAGTGTTCGTGTGGCCTACAGACATAGCAAAAGGAAGCTTCCTTCTGATGGGCAGACTATATTCAGGTATTAGATGATAACCAAAATTGTAAAAATTCAATTTCCAAGAGTTTGCCAAGCATTCCATGTAATTCGCTCAGATCTTGCTTGCCACTGTGCCCCCAGCACCTGAAACAGTGCCTGATATACAAGACAATCAGTAAATATTTTCTGGGTGCATAAGTGAAGTCATTAAAATGTAAATGAATGCTGGAATAAGAGAAACTAGGACAAAATGGGAAGAAGATAGACAATATAAAAATTAGCAATGACTGCAATTCTGCTTAATATGAGCCAACTAAGAAGTTGAGAGAACAACAAAATTAGCTGAACTATATTTTTAAATAAAATAAACTGTTTAAGGGATTAGGAAGTAGAGAAATGAAAACCAGATAGATTTTTTTTCTTTAAATGTAAATACTAGGCTGTTTTGCAAGACCCAGATTGTTCCCTGCAGGTTTCCTAAATTCAAGCAGTGACAGCAATGATGAGCAGAGGTTTTGAGGTTTGTGCTTTTCTTTGGGGGTCCACAGGCAGGTGTCTTCTTGTCTCCTGTAGCATCTTTCCTGTGGGTTTTCAGGCTGTGGCTTGATCTCAAGTAGTGGACACACTTACCAGCTTTCAACGTGTCCCTGCTGGGTGTGTCCCGTTCCTCGCCCTGGTTGAGCTCTGGCAGGCATTGGAGGACCCCATGTCCCTTAGGCAATTCTCTCCCAGCCAAAAAGCACCCTGCCCACTAATCAGCAGGGGTTGGTGCGTGATTTATAACCAAGCCTGCGATTGTCACCTCCGATTTGGAGAGCTAATGGAGTCTCTGGGCTGTGGCAGGCCATTGGTGCACACACACACTTTTTCCTATACCAGAACTAGAGAGCAACAGCTACCCACCACATTTCCCAGCTTTTGTTTTCACCCAGGAAACTTAGGGGCAGAATGTCATTTGAAACACTTTATCATCAAGATGCAATTTTGTCAGTATCCCTGCTACGTTAGTTTGATTGAAAAATGTATAGTTTATGTGGCTTTCTGGGAAGTACTTTTATAGCATGTCCAAATGCCAAATGACAGTGGGTTTTTGGCAATCAGAATGCTGGATAGTAAACTTAGGACATTTTTGCGTTATACCCTTTTCTCTATTTCAGGGGAAATTTGAATTCTTCGATTGTATCTGGCACATCTTAAGTGGATCTTGCTGACTTTACAGTTGAGCCCAAATTCTCAGCTTCTCCCTTCACCTGCCTGTCTGAGTTTGCTTCTGTTCACTTCATGATGGGGGGAGAACCAAACACTTCCCCCGCCTCCACCAGGAAGCTCTCTTTTCTTGGCAAGCTCAGAAGAACGACTTCTTAAAGTAGCATTTAAAAGCTATTAAATCATGAAAACAGGTAGCACAGGCAGACGCGTTTTTCCTTCTTTTTTTGCCTTTGCCGTATTCCAGTGAGTTCCTGGGGCTGGCTCAAAAACGGATGACGGCTGTTCTCATGGCAGAGCTTGGGAGTGGGGCAGTGGGTTTCCTGACAGAGGGAGTCTGAGGTAATGGGCTCCAGCTGTTCCGGAGAGCAAGCAGAGGCAAACAACACGTGCTCAGAAGGAGTGAGCCCTTCCAAAGGCCTGTCTGTTCATTTATTTTATTTATAAATCAGAGCGCTCTGTAATCCACTTAAAACTGGATGTTTAAAAAAAAGTTCCCTTTGGGGTGAGGGTGGGGAGGATAAGGATGGACCTGAGTCTTCTCTCTGTATGTCTTTTTATTTTGAAATTTGAAAGCTGTGAATGTTTACATATTTAAAACATCCAGTTAAACAGAAAAAGAAAAAAACACCCAAATCTTAAAATTAAAAACAAATGGGAACAAACGAAGAACTTAAAAATTTGTGTAAAGGTATCAACAACATAACCACATGGAGAAAACATTTATTTTAAGGGCTTTTAAAC